AAAGAAACACATACAGAATGATTTCAAGGACACTTTATACATTAATAAAATAGTTCATTGAAATTTTACTTATATTTATAGGGCATTCTGTATGTACAGTTTGTAGCTCCAAGGGAATTGGCTAGTCAGTAGACTTCAAGGGCCTGGGCTGAGTTGTCATTTTCTAGTATTTTTCAGAGGAGCTATTTATTCTATGCCAGTGACCATATGCATGAAATTAGACAATGCCCACTTTCTTTAAAGATAAATGGAATTTCCGTGAGAAGCAAAGGAACAAAACAATAGTTTTCTGAACATACTTGTAACTGATGGTCTGGAAAGATTCTTTTGTAGACTAATGTCCATTTTTGTCTTATCAATTTAAACAATGGTTTAAGACAAAGCCCATCAAACATTAGATAAGCGTTTTAAGTTAATGGGCCATATAGTCCTATCATTTGATAAACACAAGAAACTCATATTGCAGTCTATTTTTACAGTAACATCAATTATTAATAGGCATATTATTGCTGACAGAGGACATACCTAAATATGTGAATTTCGTTATCCAGTTTTGGGTCATTAACTATAGAAAGCTTGTAAACATAATGGTTTCTATTCACATAGGAAGCCTTCATTAAGATGTATTATTCTGCTACATTATTCTGCTGTTGATCATATACTACTACTAAGTATGCAGTCTACATCTAATATGTGTAGAGTTGTTTTAAAATGAGTAGATGTTCTTAGGGCAAATTCACAAATTTGAATTTTGTGCAAATTTGAATTATGTACAAATTTATGTACAAATAAAATACCTTTATTATGGCATCCCGAGGCAAAATGGACCAGGATTTCTTCACAGACTTACCAGGAACAAGAAAATGTCAGGAAACAGTAAGCTAAGCTTTATATATAACATTAAGTTTTCAAAAAAAGGAAATGAACCGATATTCTGCTAATTAAAAAGAATCAATGGGAAGTGTAAATATCAGGCAATTCAACTAAAAACCCTTTGGCACCCTTCTGATGTGGATAAACATTGCATTTGTTAAGCAGCAGTCTTCTCACCTGCTGTATAAAGCACCCCATGACTCCACACATAAAGCATTTTTCTACATTGCAATATTGATGATTTACACTGAAAAATACCCATTGTTTGCCTCTAGGGTTTTTGTTCATTTTGTTATTCAAGCAACCATTTTTTTCCTGAATGTTGAACAAATTATACTAAGTATAAATTTACCAGGCATTGTTGATGTGCATGTTTAGGTGTGTTAGTGCAGATACTTTGCCTCTGTGGAAAGTATAAGTAGGGGAAATGTAATATTGGTTCCATTTTGATCAATGCTGGAAGATCCAAAGATCCGAGTGATCCAGTAGTAAAATATCATTATGAATGATTCAAGGGCAGAGTGAAAATATGTGGTCGCTGTGAGTAGCAGAGAAGTCAGACTTCAACTGACCAACTCAAGACAGCAGTCCTACATTTTCTTCTCTTTATTCTATACCACACAATGAATGGAAAGGATTAGTGACCAGCAAAGTGTGCGCAAGGTTTGTGTTCCTCCCAAATTTACACCATATTTTTAAAGAAATGGGTTTTCTATCTTTCTTACAATCATCTTGTCATCCTGTTTTTAAAAAATGTTTTAGAAGGGATCCTTCAATTTGTTGTTGTTCTATTTATGCCAATATTATCTTTTTGGGCTGTAATATGCCTGATATATGTCTTACTTGCTCTGCTACATAATATAATCTAATATTCAGAATACCTAATCATCCCAGTTTTTGTGATTTAGGATAATCTTATCTTACTTATCCTCACTTTCTTATCTCCATTACAAAATACATTAATCATATTTTGCCAGTCATCCAGTTATTTTCCTACTATCTTGATCAACAACATGCCAAATAAGAAATTAATCTTAGTAAATTTTTCATTTTACATAATGATATTCTACCAAACCATGATAATCCTATTTTCCTGAATTGGTGCATTTTATCTTTTATTTCAGATGTCAGTATATCAAAATTATTCTTTTTTAAACATTGGCTTTTTAGTTTAAAACTTATATTCTTAAATAATTATTAAATCCATTCAGTATCCCATAAGCTTTAAATATAATATCATCTAATTTACCCTACCCTTAATTATTTATACCTTACAGATTTTATAACAGTCATGTCATCAAGTCAGGAATTTATTTTCTTTTGCTTTCTCTTGGAGTCTTATAAGTACCAGCATCTCCATATTCTTAGCAGGATTGGGTAATTAATCAGTAGTACTCTTGTTAAGTTCAAATTGGAGAGTGAAAGAGAATTATAAAAATCCTCTTATGTTTCTTCCTATAGAATTCTACCTCTCAGTTCTAGGGAGGGAGGGAGGGAGGGAGGGCTCCTCCCTTTAAGAGTTTTAAAAGTTTAATTTGTCAGAGTCCATAAATCAATACCCCATTATTCTGGTCTTTATGAAAGGCAGAAACCTCTCCATCCATCAAGTTGTTTGTCCAAATAGAATTGTTTTAATTAGCCATGCATTTAGGAGAGTTGCAAACTAACAACTGCCTACAGTCATTATCAGAAATTCCCCCATGAAGAACAAGCCTTTCCAGACTAGTCTGATGCCATTTTTTGATTAGATACCCTCCCTAGTGGACCTTGGGAATGCTGTGGACATAATATATCTTGACTTCAGCAAAGGTTTTGACAAAGTGCCACATGTCATTATGATTAGAAAACAAGTCAAAAGTGGAGAAGATGGAACAGCTATCAGGTGGATCCATAATTGGCTACAGAATCAGACTCATAGTGCTCATCAATGGCACCTTCTCAAACTAGGAAGAGTCAACATGTGTGGTATCGCAGGGTTCATGTAAAGTTGGGATTCTTTTTAAGGGTACAAAGCTTCTCAGTGGGTCCTTCTTTGACTGGAGAGAAGGAACGGATGAGGTACCTCGGGGTTCAGTTTGACTTGGACAAGAGCTGCAGGGTATGCTGATCATATTTGCCGATAACACCGAATTGGGTGGAATAGTTAATACCCTGGAAGACAGGAGCAAAATTCAAAGTGATCTTCATAGGCTGAAGCACTGGACTGAAAGCAACAGAATTAAATTCATTTAAGACAAATGGCCAGTTTTACCCCAAGGAAAAGTGAACCAAATGCACAGGTACAGGATGGGACATACTAGGCTCAGCAATGCTACAAGTAAGAAGAATCTCGGAATGGTTGTAGATCACAAGGTGACTATGAGTGATGTGTTACCAAAAAAGAAAAAAAGAAAAAAAGGCAAATGCTATACGGGGTTGTATTAGTAGAAGTATAACTTCCAAATCAGTTGAGCTACTGGTTCTCCTCTATTCAGCACTTATTAGTTCCTGTCTTGAGTAACATGTCCAGAAAGATGCAAACAAACTTAGAACGGTTCAGAACTGAGCCAAAAGAGTAATCAGGGAACTGGTAACAAAGCCCTGTGAAGAAAGAATGAAAGAGCTGGGCATGTTTAGCCTCAAGAAAAGAAGACTGGGGGGAGATATAATAGTGCTTTTCAGATATTTGAAGGGCTGTCATCCTATGGCAGGATAGGATTCCTTCTCAGTCATCCCAGAGTGAAGAACACAGAATAATAAGCTTGAGTTACAGCAAGGCAGATTCCACCTGGACATCAGGAAAATATTCCTGACTGTTAGAGCAGTATGACAATGGTACCAATTACCTAGCGGAGTTGTGCACTCTCTCACGCCAGAGGCACTGAAGAGGCAGTTGGACAGCCGTCTTATCAGGAATGCTTTCACAGGAGCCCTGCACTGAGCAAGGGGTTGGACTTGATGTCTGTCTTAGCCCCTTTGAATTATACTGCTCTATGATACTATGTTTCCTTATAACAACCTTTGAAGTACCCTTTTGTCATGTGAATCACTGAATTCATTTATTGAATAGCTACGTTACCTAATATGAATGCACATGGTCTGTATACTAATTAGAAAATATCCATAGCAGTCTTTGAATTAACTCAGATAACTTCAATGCTTCCCAGCTGCTAGCAAAGATTACCAGAAATGGTTGTCTTTGCCATCTGCCTAAGTTAACAAGACGTTAACCTTCACTCATCTAAAAGAGTGAGCCAGTGTGTATAATTGCCAGAACCCAGTGTACTTTATATAAGTCATGGTCCATTGTGGTGTATGCCAGTGTCCATTTTGAATATTTGTGTTGTGGTAGGCAGTTGCCACAACTACTTATAATATCCAAACCTGGCACATGGTAGATTGTTGGCATGGTTAACAAAGCACCTGCTGGCATAAACAGCCCACAGCAGGCTGTGGTAACTGCAAACTCGGTCAGTGTTGGGCAAAGAATTCTGTGTGCTACTTCATTTACTCTCTGCAGCTGGCCCATTTAGCTCAGTGTTATCTATGCTGATTGGCAGCCACTTTCTGAAATTTCAGAGGAGGTCATTCATTTGAACTAGGGGTGCAACTTGTTGATTCCTTCCATTCATAGGAAAGCATGCCTGCTACTACTGATCTATGGCTTTTGCTATATATCAGTTATCAGGTAGAGCAGAGGAAATAGGAAGAGTTATCTTGTGGCATCATCATATCTCATCTATTTTCCTTTTGGGTGACAGGAATACAAGGTGGCTTACATAGTTCCATTTATCTTCACAGTAACATCCTGTGAGGTAGGTTAAGCTGAGAGTGCATGACTGGGCCAGAATCACACAGTAAGCTTAATGGCTGAGTGGAGACTAGAACTTTTATCTCCCAAGTCTGACACTCTTAAGCAGTACGCTACACTGGCTTTTGCACTGGCATCATAAGTGAACATAGTCTGTTGTCAAAACAAGGCAAAGAATACAGTAGTATTAATGCCAGCTGGGAAAGATCAGTTCAGAATAAATATATTCAGATAAAGCAGAAACACATCTAGTGTTCGAAGCAGAATAAAACTGTTAATAAAACGAGGAAAGCAACATGATACTGATATTAGATTCTTATTCCTGCTTCCTTTTTAGAATCCACCTCCTCACTTCCAAAGACCTAGTGTTTCCCTGCTGCGTGCTCAAAAGGTGGATACTCTAAGGTGTGAAATTCAGGAGAAACATGAGTCAGACTTCCAGAAAGCTCTAGTAAGCATCAAAGAGCGAGTGAAAGAAATTGAAGGCCCTGACATCAAAGAAAGCCTCCAGGATCAGATTCGCCAGTGGTTTATTGAATGCCGGTAAGGAACTAGATATACATAAAGCCACTGCTACCACAGAGGCTTGCAGATTGTCTGAGTTAGCTGCCGCCTCAGCTGGCCCAATCTCAGTATTTTCCTTAGGGATAAGGCAAGGGGCCTTTCACCACAACTCGTAGGAACTTCCCTTTTTCACTTTTGGTTGGCAGTTGGCTTTTCTGAGTGACATTAAATTCCAGCGTTGTGAAAGGATGAAACAATTCTTTCTCTCTCTCTTTTTTAAAAACTGTGGAGAGAAAAACAGTAAAGCAAGCATTAAAGTAGAAAGGAAAAACAAAATGAAGACATTACATTATTTGGATAAAATTTGAAAACGTCCATAGCACTATTTACACAGAGAGACAGAGGGAGGGAGGGAGAATATATTTTCAATGATAATAATACTTGTATTATCAGAAGTTAAAAATATGCTTCTCCGGTGGGCAGCATGCAGGGCAGCTACCATCTGCCTGCTGGACCCCGCTGCCATGCCCTGCTCTGCTCTCCCAGACTGTCCTCGTCCCCATCACTTTTCTCCCCTGCTGCCTGCCAGTGCGGCCTTGACATGGAGAGGAAGAGCAAGAGCAAGAGAGAACCAAGCTGAGCCACCTGTTTGCTGGGGTGGGGCTTCCGCAATGGCCATTCTTCTTCGGTGGGCAGCACCCATTTGGCCCCCGTTCAGTGCATGTTTAGGAGGCAGGCCCTTGGTGGGAGCAAGGCCAATTATTACAGCAGTTTATTCTTTGTTATTTGTTTTATCAGTGTTCTGCACTTGCTGTATTTTACTGTAAACCTCCCAGAGAGCCCTTTGGGCTATGTGGTGGTATATACACATTAAAAATAAATATATAATGCATAAACCTCAACAGAAGCACCCCAAATATCCATATATTTATCCATTTGTAGATTATGCCTAAAGGCCACCCATTTACCAACTGAAACTTAATCCTTAAGTTCTTCTCCCAGTGTATTATTGCAGTGGGCCCTTTATCCTTCCAATGTTGTAATCTTAGTCTTTTATGTGGACCTTGAATTAGATTCCAAGTGATGAGTAGGATTCGGAAAAACATGTATCTTTGAATTTTAGGGCTTTTTGCATCACAAGAGTTAATTATAAAAATCATTTGTTGCTGTTACGTTCTGTCAAGTCGTCCCTGACTTAATAGCTGTGGAATAAATGAAAGCCCTCCAAACTGTCCTGTCCTTGACAGCTTTGCTCAGCTCTTGTACATTCAAGACTGTGGCTCATACTTGCTTTGCTTCTGCCTTTGACTTTCCCTAGCACTGATTGTCTTCTCCAGGAGTCTTGCCTCCACAGGGTGCGCCCAAAGTGCAACCTCAGTTTTGTCAGTTTTGCTTCCAGGAAAGTTCTGGCTCGATTTGAACAACTTGTTCATTTTTCTGTTGGTCCGGGGCATTCTCAAACTTCTCCTCCAGCGCAGTGTTTTGAATGCATCCATTTTCTTCTGTCACGTTTCTTCAGCTTTTACACCCATACATAGTGATTGGGAATAATAGTCTGGATGATTTTGTCAGTCTCCAGTGAATCATCCGCTTAGTTAATGATCTTTGCAAGTTCCTTCATTGTCACCCTTCCAAGCTTCAGTCTTCATAGCTGTTGTTTTTGAATTGATGATTGAACCAAAGCATGCAAAATCTTTCACAATTTTGGTTTCTTCATGGTTGACAGTCAAGTTCTCTAATTCATATAATTAATTTTGTTTTCTTAATCTTCAGCTCCCGTCTTGGCTCTTGTACTTTTTTCTTTCACTTTCTTCCGAAATAATTTCAATTAATTGCTGGTTTCTGCCAGTAAGATGGAATCATCTTTTCTTAAATTATTGATGTATCCTCCACAATTTTCATTTTTTTTTTATTTAAAGCTTTTATAGACCGTTCCATTGCTAGTGTCTCGGGATGCTTTACAGCATGCACAGATAAAAATGGCACAGCATCCAGCAATTCAGATTAAAATCACAATTAAAACCAATTAAACATTAAAATAATGGGAGAATAAAAAGGTTTTGGCCTGGTGCTCAAAAAAAAAAAAAAAAAAAAAAGCATTTGTGCCAGGCAAATTCCTCTTAGGGGAGCATATTCCACAATCGGGGCGCCACCACACAGAAGGCCCTCCTCAGGGTAATCACCCTCCTAATCTCTTTTAAGGAGGGCTCCCAAAGAAGGACCTCCACCTCAGATCTCAAGGGGCAGGAGGGCACATAGGGAAGAAGGCACTCCTTCATGTATCCAGCACCCAAGCCATTTAGAGCTTTATAGGTCATCACCAGCACCTTAAATTGAGTCCAGACTTCAATTGGCAGCCAGTGTAAATGATAGAGGACTGGCGTTATATGTGTGATATAACAAGCTATTGTGTCAGTTGCCCTGGTCATTTCTGTTGTGGGGCGATTTTACAGACGAGACCAGAGACTGGTTGGAATTACCGAGAGATTTATTTACCTGCTGGCAGGGACCATGCACTCGTGAGAGTGTGGTCCTGAGCAGATCGAAGGCAGGATTTTTATACTCTTTTACACGGACGGCTATGCAGGTGCTTGAATAACAGCGAACAATAGAGGAAATCCACTGAGCTACATTCGCACACTTTTTTTTTTATGCTAAAGCAAGCAAGCGAGTGTACAGGGCGTGACGTTATGCTGGAGCATAGCAACAAAGGCTGCTTTGTGGTCAGCCTTGCGTAGCATGCACATTCGTTGGGGTTCTTGTTCTTACTCGAACAGGACACTCTGATCATGCTTCTTACCTGTGACGAGCCATGCCCTAGCTGCATGTTCGATTGTGAGGGGGGTTACAACAATTTCCCCATCCCACAAATCAACCAGAGCATTGACAGGAGTGCCAGCTTTACCAGCCAGAAAATCTCTGAGAGTCCGCAGGAATCCATCAGGATCCATAAGACTCCAAATAATTCCTTCCTCTGATTCCTTATAATACAGGCAGTCCTTAGGTTACAAATGAGTTCTTTTCCTGAGAAACAGAAAATCTTTAAATAGATTTTGTATGAAAGTCAGAGCATGAATAGTTGGCCCTCCTCATGTGTGGGAGTGCAGGGGTTAGGGGCACAGGACCCTGTGAAAGTGGAAAAACTGCAACTATCACTACCCCCCCCCCCATGCAAACTCACCAGTGCAGCAAGGAAATGCCAGAGAGATGGGCAGGGCAGGAAGGCCTGCTTTGGAGCCCTCCCTCTTTCCCTTTGCACTTCCTCTCTCTTTGGTGATGATGATGTCCTGCAGTAGGCCTTTAACTCAAATTTTTAAATAGGCTTTATGGCCTGTTATGATTGGATGTAAGGAAGTACTTCCTGATAGATAGGACCCCTAGGATACGGAGTGGACTTCCAAGGGAGGTGGTTGAGGCTGCGTCAGTGAGGGTGTTCAAGGAAAGATTGTACAACCGTTACATGTTGGCGATTACATGAGTGGAGCTGGCTGGAGCTGGGGGTCAGACTATATGGCCCAGGAGGCCACTTCTGACACACTTTGTTTCTATGGCACTCCATTCATAAGTATGGGTTGCTGTTCATAATTCAAACATTCATAACCTGGAGATGGCCTGTACATTGTGCATTCATATTGAACAGACAGGAGGATAAAATCCATCCTTGTCTGATAACCTTGCCTATAGGAAACCATTCTGTTTCTCTATATTCTGTCCTAACAATAGCTTCTTGTCCATAATACAGGTTACACATCAGGACAGTCAAGTTTCTCATGATCCACACAGTCAAAGGCTTTGCTATAGACTAAAAAGTTTAGACTGATCTACTTCTGAAATTTTTTGGTGCACTGAAATTCTGTTGTTGGCCTATTCTTGTTGGATCTGGGCCAATTTAGTCTCTGCAGTTTGGAATGGTATTCAATTCCCATTGGGTGCTTTGTTCCTCACAAATGCTTTCAGAGCAGCTTTCACTTCACCTTCATATTCTTTGTAGAGTTCCTCCTTGAATCTTTTTGAACCGTTCATAGAGTTTATATTTTTATCTGTATAGTCCGTCTGCATATTGTTTGCCCCCTTGTTTCTCTGTGATAGATAGTATGTCCCTCTGTTTGTTTTTCAGAAGTCCTAATCCTTTCAATTCTTAGATTTTTCTGGAGGAGTTCTCTAGTTTGTCTTCTGTTGTTCAATTCTGTTTCTGCAGTGGCCATTGTAATAGTTCTTTTTGTCTCTGTGAGATAGCTACTGAGAAGTTTTGTTCAAAATCCTGACCTTATTTCTGTCAACTTTTGCTTTTGTTTCTCACCTGTCCTTAGCAATTGTGATTGTTTCTTTAGCAATTGTGATTGTTTCTTCTGTCATTCATCTAGGCTCTCTCTCTCATTCTGCTTGCACAGATTGCCCTTTTGGATTCCTCCCGCATAATGTATCTGATTATACTCCACAGTTATTCTTTGTGGTTCCTGTGCATCACACATTTGGCTCTTCATGCATGCATGGAGCGGTTTTTGGGAAGATTCTAAAGCTGATTAATTAGTATTCAGTGGGAGTTTGGCCCCAAACACAGGTAGCATGAGGTCAGGGCTCCCGCCGAGACCTCAGTTCTTCTTTGACCACCATCATGAGCGCATCAGGAAGTTTGGTTCCGACTTGCTTCGCAAGTTATATGAGATAACTCCTACCAGGTGAGATCTCTTTTTCTCTTCTCGTCTTCTCCCTGTTGCTCGAAGCAAAAAAAAGGGGGGGAATAAAAGAAAAGAAAAAAGAGAAGATAAATTGCACCCTACAGTGCTTACCACTGAGGCCTCTTTGTTGCGCCTCATCAGCCAGACAAGATGGCACTTAAGGCCGCGTTCCACAACTGCACCAAATACGGTAGCAAACTTCCTCCAACTGATGGTCACTCCGTTTGTCTTTTCTGTTTGGGAGAGTCATGTGTCATTGAATCTTGTTACCATTGCCAAACTTTTACGAAGCAGGCAAGGAAACATCAGGCTGACCATTTAAAGGTGGAACTTTGGAGCCATGCCTTGCATGCCGAGGACCTTCAGCCATCCACCTCAGTGGCTTCAGCTTCCACCCCGGACGACTCACCAGCTCCTTTGCCAGCAAAGGTGGCAAAACAAAAAAAGGCAGAAAAGAAAGCAAAGCCACCAAAATCACTCACCCTGACTGACCTCTGTAAGGCAACAATATGGTCGAATCCATCAAGCTTTGTTAGACACTACTGCCTCAGTGTCAAATCAAGAGTGGACTGCACCTTTGGCAGATCTGTCCTCTCCACTACACTTTACTTAGCGACACCACCCTCTTCCTAGAGGTAAGCTCACCAGTCACCCATATGTGTGATGCACAGACACCATGAAGAATAAAGACAGATTTCCATACCTGTAACTGTCATTCTTCAAGGAGTCATCTGTGCATTCATACATACCCACCGCCTTCCCCCTGGTGTTTCTATCTTGACGCATGGGGTATTCTGCATCAATGACACATTGATGATGGTGGTCTCAGCTTTGAACTGAGGTCTCGGTCAGAGCCCTGCCCTCACGCTAACCACGTTTAGGGCTGGGCTCCCACCAAATACTATTTAATCAGTGTTAGAATCTTCTCAAAAACTGCTCCACACATGTGCAAAGAGCCCATATTTGTGAATGCACAGGTGACCACTCGAGGAATGGCAGTTACAGGTAAGGAAGCCTGTCTTTCTTCTAGCTCATGGCCAATTGAATTCAGTAATTCAAATCTGTTTCTGTGGACCTTAAATTCCTCAGGAATGCTGTTCAAATTGTATTTTGGTAATGTCCTTCTTTTAGTGAACTTTTACAGCTTTACTTTGGTTTTTGTTGTCAAGTTTTCATGGGCACTGCCACAATCTGCTCCTGGTCTTGTTTTGGCAGCAAGAATACAACTCCTTCATCTTCTGGTGATGTCCGTGGATACGGACTTCATTGCCTGAAGTATGGATTTCCAATAAACGGATGGTTGGCTTCATAGAATTCTTTGAGTCATTCTCCTGCTTTGTTTCTGACCCCTAGGCCAAGTTCTCCCACAATATTTGATTCTGAATTGTGTCCTATTTTTGCATTCCAGGGATCTATGATGATTAGCCCATCTTGTTTTAATATATTAACCATTTTTTCTTGAGTGACTACATTTTCATTTCCTTCTTCTTTTATTTTTTGGCTCTGGCTTCTTGGGCTTTTGGCTCTGGCCTCTTGGCAGAGCAGCAGAGGCACAGGCTGGGAGAGAGTACTGAGTGGCCAGGGGATTGGCGAAGGCAAGGTAGGAGCTGCGCAGGGAAGCACAGGGCCAGGAGCAGCGGAGAGGAAGGGGGCGGGGCCAGAGAGGTAGGAGGGGCCAGGAGGGAACAGACGGGTGGGGCCACCGGCCTGAGGGGCTGATAAGGCCGCGCTAAGCCACTGCCAGCCCTTTTGGCTCTGGCCTCTTGGCAGAGCAGCAGAGCCACAGGCTGAGAGAGAGTGCTGAGTGGCCAGGGGACTGGCGAAGGCAAGGTAGGAGCTGGGCAGAGGAGCACAGGGCCAGGAGCAGTGGAGAAGAAGGGTGTTGTCCCTTGTCTGCGTCCCTTAGCTGCAGCCCAAGCTGTCTGGAGACGCCCTTCCCTGAGACACAGAGGTTTGGTTGTTCGTTTGTTTTGTTTGTGCTGTGCTGTGCTGTGCTTTGCTTTTCTTCCAATTTAAATTTAAGTTTATTTTATCCTTGTGTGTGTGTGCGAGTGGGTTTTTGTCTGGGAGAACTGGGCGAGTGAGAGGAACTGCAGGACTAACAAGGCAGGGGACCAAGGTAAGGTCTCGGAAGGGATACTGATAGCAGACCAGGAGATGGCCTTGGCGGGAGTCACGGGTGTTGCTGTCCACTGCGAGAGCTGCGACATGTTCACCCTTCTCCCCCAGGAGAGGCAGGGATACACTTGCCCTCAGTGCAAGATGGTGACCCTGCTAGGAGAGGAGGTGAGGTGCCTGAGGGCCGAGAGAGCTCTCCAGGCCCCCCTGGAGCAGCCCCCCTCTGGACAGAGGGTTGAGGGAGAGGCCACGGGAGGAGCAGCTGCGGAGACATGGAGATATGTCACCCACAGGAGGAGGAGGCCATGCTGGTACCAATCTTGCACTTATCCTTGCACTTACCCTTGGTATCTCCTGGTACCAATCTGGAGCTGGGAAACAGGTTCTCTTCACTTGGGGAGGCTGGAGCTGATGAGGCCTCGGGGGACCAGCAGGACCCCCAGCCTGGGATGTCAGGTGGCAAGGGGGCCGCTGCAGGAGAGGCGAGGGCCAGGGCACGGCCGCCCACCAGCACCGGGAAGGTACGGCAGCAGGTGATTGTTGTTGGGGACTCCCTGCTGAGGGGCACTGAGGCGGCAGTGTGCCGCCCCAACCTGGAGACAAGGGAGGTTTGCTGCCTGCCGAGCGCATGCATCCAGCATGTGAAGGACAGAGTGGAGTGTCTTATTCGCTCCGGGGGTCACCAGCCACTCCTGCTGATCCATGTGGGCACAAACGATGTGGCCAGGCAGGGTGTGGTTGGGACCACCAGCCGGGGGGGGGGGTGTTCAGGCCCCCGAGTAACGTGTCTGCACTGGACAAGTGTGGGGGGAGGATCAGGGCTCTGGGAGCAGGGTTTTAGAGATACAGCAGGGACTGACAGGACTCCTACAGAGAGGGGTCAGGTACGAGGGAGGATGGGAGGAAGGAGGAGGCTGGGAACTCCAAGGAAAGCAGTGGGAAGGAGTTGAGGTGCATGTGCACCAATGCTAGGAGCATGGGTAATAAGCAGGAAGAGCTTGAAGCTCTCCTGGGAATAGGAGGGTATGATCTGGTGGGAATCACAGAAACTTGCTGGGATGAAAGGCAAGTCTGGAATGTGAACATAGAAAGGTATCACCTTTTTAGAAAGGACAGGAAGGGAACAAGAGCTGGGGGTGTGGCTTTATACGTCAGGGAAGGGATAGGATGCAGTGAAATAGAATGAAGCACAGATGGGGATTTGGTAGAGGCAGTCTGGGTGAAACTTAGGGGTTTTGATAAGGAAAGAGACCTGACAGTGGGGGTATGTTATCGCCCTCCAGGTCAACTTGAGACCCTGGATGATGTCCTGACAGGCCAGATTCTAAGGATATCTCGGGGGAGAGACACAGTAATTATGGGAGATTTCAGTCTCCTGGATATTACTTGGGAGACTCACTTGGCGGTGACAGCCAGGTCACGTCGCTTCCTAGAAGCTATAGAGGGAGGGTTTTTCACACAGAGGGTCCAAGAGGCGAGGGGAGGAGGGGACATCCTTGACTTGGTCTTGACCAATAGGGAGGAGCTGATAGATCAAGTAAGATTAGGGAGCTCTGGATGCAAGTGATCACTCCATCCTTTGCTTTGAGATCAGGGGACTGGGGACGTGCAGCAGGTCGAGCACTAGAAGCTGGGACTTCAAGAGGGCCAACTTTGGCCAATTGAAGGCCAGACTGGGGAAAGTCTCCTGGGATAGGTTACTGGAAGGTAAGCAAGTTGAGGAGGGGTGGATAGCACTCAAAAGGGAGGTTTTGGAGGTGCAGGCCTTGACGATACCTCTAGTCAGTAAGGTGGGGAGGCGGAGGAGAGTGCCGCCATGGATGCGAAAGGAGGTGGCTAGAGGGATTAGACAAAAGAGGAACCTCCGTAGGAAATGGGTACTGGGGGAAATAGACAAAAGGGTATACCGGGAGGAGGAGGCCCATTGCAGAAGGATTCTTCGCAAAGCTAAGGCTGATTACGAGCTGAGACTTGCCAAGAATATCAAGAGCAACAAAAAGGGCTTCTTTCAGCATGTAAATAGGAAAAGGAAGGGGAGACAAGTGGTGGGACCACTAAATAAGGAGGAAGGAGATCCAGTGACTGATATGAGGGAACAGGCGCAGATGCTAAATGACTGTTTTGCCTCTATGTTCTCCCCAAAGCAGGACGGGGGATATCCGCATAGGAGATTAGATGAGGCTGGGGACTTAGGGGCAAAGATTAGAGTCACCCCCCTTGAAGTCGAGGGGCTCCTCAGGGCATTGGACATTACAAAGGCACTAGGCCCTGATGGTTTACACCCAAGAGTACTTAGAGAGTTGGCAGGGGTTCTCTCACACTTCTGGCCTCCATTTTTGAGACCTCGTGGAGAATGGGTGAAGTTCCAGAGGACTGGAGGGTGGCATCAGTGGTCCCAATTTTCAAAAAGGGTAGTAGAAAGGACATGGGAAATTATAGACCTGTTAGCCTTACGTCCATTGTAGGAAAAACAATGGAAAGGCTCATAAAAGAGAGAGATCTAGTGATGCTAGTTAGGGAAGGGAGGCTGACAGCCACACAACACGGCTTCCGCAAAAACAGGTCCTGCCAGACAAACCTTGTGGAGTTCTATGACAAGGTTTCAAGATGGCTAGATGGAGGGGATGCAGTGGATGTGGTACACCTGGATTTCAGCAAGGCCTTTGACAAAGTGCCCCATGATATCCTAATGGAGAAACTGAGGAGTTTTGGGATACGCCAAAGCACTGTCCGGTGGATTAGGGCATGGTTGACTGACCGAAAGCAGAAGGTAACCATTAGCGGGGAATCATTGGGATGGCGGCCAGTGACAAGTGGGGTCCCCCAGGGCTCTGTCCTGGGGCTGATCCTGTTTAATCTTTTCATTAATGACAGGGAAGAAGGAGTGACCAGTCTGCTGATCAAATTCACAGACAACACTAAAACTGGAGCAGTGGCCACAACTGAGGAGCAGTTACTCCAGATCCAAAAGGATCTGGACAGACTATGGAAGTGGGCAGGAGACAACAGGATGGCGTTCAGTGTGGATAAGTGCAAGGTCTTGCACTTGGGGCATAGGAATAGCTTTCATAAGTACAGGTTAGGTGACAAATGGCTGGAGAGCAGCACTTGTGAAAGGGACCTCAGGGTACTGGTTGACTACAGGCTAAACATGAGTCAGCAGTGTGATGTGGTAGTCAAGAGGGCGAACGCCACCCTTGGTTGCATAGCCAGAAGTGTGGCTTCTACCACTCTACACTACTCTGGTGCGCCTGCAACTGGAGTATTGTGTTCAGTTTTGGGCCCCTCATTGCAGTAAGGATATAGCCAGGTTGGAGTCAGTGCAGTGTAGGGCCACAAGGTTGGTGGCCGGATTGCAGGGGATGCCTTATGAGGCGAGACTGAGGGAACTGGGTCTCTTCAGCCTGGAGAAGAGGAGACTCGGAGGGGATATGTTGGCGACATACAGGTGTGTGAGGGGATGTCACATGGAGATGGGTAGAGACCTGTTCTCTCCTGCAGAGGAAGGCAGGACACACTCCAGTGGAGCAAAGCTCAGGGAGCCAAGGTTCCATTTAGATGCCAGGAAGCACTTCCTGACAGTCTGGATCCCGAGGGTGTAGAATGGGCTTCCACAAGAGGTCGTTGAGGCCCCATCGGTGCGGGTGTTCAAGGATAGGCTGGATGTCCACATGGTGGGCATGTCATGAGCAG